GGTTTATTAACACAGCGGTAACACATTCCCTGGAGCAAATGCCCTAAACACCAATCATCGACGTAATTTTTATTGTCATCTAGAAACAGAAACAGTGAAATTAAAATATAAAAAAGAAACAGAAACAAAACAAAATTGGAGCTGCAATCTAGCACAACTGAGCGACTTAAACCAACTTTTACTCTGGGTGTGTGGGACGCGTTTTTTACATGCAATATGAAATGTGCTACAACTTCAATTGCAATGCTATAGTATTTCTTTATGTTAGTAAAGAACTGTTTGTGGTTTCGTTAAGGGTACTCAGCACTGATATTAGAAGCTGGAAAGTACAGAATTAACCCTAAGGTCATTTAGAGTGTTGGACATCAATCTAAGTATGGGCCACTCCCTTTCTAGGGTCTACGCTTCAAAGAAAACACTTTATTTATTTCCTCCACTCTAAATTAGTTCAAAAATGATTCTCTACTTTCTATCTTGTTATTTCCAGCTTGGGATTTCCTTAGTTTACCTTTGGTTGCTTCTAATTCAACCAATGATGTCTGCACTAATTTCAGCATCGGTTCAACTAAGTCCGGTCTGCGATGAAGAACCTTGAAGCCATTCCAGAGGAGAATGAGCTCCTGATGACATCAAAAAGAGAAAATCAAATTTGAACGTTGTTTATTCATAAGCACATTGATCACGCTTGTTACTGTGCAACACAACATGCATGTTTGACCCTTAATTCTTGAGACAAAGATATTAATTCTCCTTACTGACAGCCACAGAAATCCTTTATTGTAGTTCTGAGAATTTGATGGTACATCAAGACAGCATCCTCTTGTTGATGGCTTTCTTTCCTCTCATCACTTACCTTTTTTATTATCTATCGATTTCGTATGGAGAGATTGCTCTCTGGTCATTATTTTAGTCACTTACCATTCCAGGAAGAAAAAGGCGATGGTTTTGCGCCAGATACTTGTTGGCTTTATGGATTGAGAATTTTTCAAAGGGAATGGATTTCCCAGCAATGCGCTGCTTGTACTCAGGGAGACGTCTGCCAATACAGGAAAAAAATAAAAACGAAAGTCAAAATTCATTGATAGGTCATTGAATGTTTTGAGAGGTTTTCACATCACTGCCGAAAGTTATGTCTTTGCTTCGCTGATTGGTTCATCAAACTCGTGCAACATAAGGTCACGAATCAAGAATAA